GCCTGAACGGTATGTGGAATGAAGTGGGCGGGCATCGGGAGGCCACTATGGCACGGGGCAAGCACTATGAGCAGTCTATCTGAAGTGTACCTGGCGTATAAGACGACCCCCCACTTGGAGGCATATTTTTCAGGGCCAAAAAATCGTCTTATACGCCGGCAAATACGGTAATCTATGATGAAGGCTTAAATATAGGTTGGCTTAAATCTAGGTGGTACAACCTTAAATCTTGGAATTAACTGTTGCCCAAGTTCGAACCATTGGCTGTTTTATTAAGGGACTGTGGTAAGTTATTTAAAATTTTATACACACACACACACAGGCTTTGTCATTTTCAAATGGCTCTTGAAATTCTTTTACAACTACATAAAAGCCAGAAAACAATTTGGATATCTATGGAACAAAAGATACAAGCTGGTTTTGTCCTCTTCCAAGCAAAGATGTGAACACCAGTGCTAACCCTGCCATAACTTGGGAAATTCCCTGGGTCTGAGCCAAGTTGATCTCTGGAGTAATAAGGCAAAGTATTGCACTAGGACTGCTGCAATTTAATAACATACCATGTCACAAAAAAACCACACAACACGCAGTGACAAGCATAACATACCACACTCCAGGATATATAACGCCCATTTTCCAGTGGGTTTTAATCTGAAATGTATCTACCAGGAGGAATGTAATCACGTGCCTTTAGGCATGTCCATTGGTTAGATCCTATACAGTTGAATATATTGGTCACCCACTTAAAAAAGGGGGAGTAGTAATATAAGGGAGTTGCGGAGATCCTTGTAAATTATGAGATATTTATTCTTTAGTCACACAATTGACTTGCCATAGTATGATGCCCCATATCGATTATACCTTTACTGGTGGTTATTCACATTTCCTATTTTTTGCTATTTCTAACAATACTGCAGTGAACTGTGCATTTCTCTTAGGCACGGGTAGGTCTTTACCTCAGAGTAGAATTGCTTAGTCAAAAAACTTGCTTTTACAACTTTGTCTGATACTGACAAGTCCCCCAAAAAGCTATACTTCACTGTGAAATATATTAACAATGCTTTTTATGATCAAGATTTTTTACTGGTTATTCTTTGGTTCCAACTATGCATTTTTGAAAGATGTGAAATTAAAATACGGAAATATTGTCATTTGCTCAGAGCCACCTGAACACGAGAAGACAGAATCAGAACTTGAAAGACCCTTGAATTGGCAATTGATTTAGCTACTGAACAAATTATTTCTCTAAAAAGTGACTGCAATAACTAAATAAGTAATCTATTGTGTGAAAATGAACTTCCCGAAGCATCAGGTAGTTTTATCGGGAGGGCTTTTTCTAGCAGAGACCATCAATCTTGATGGAAGCTGCAAACAACAGTTTTGGAAAAGCAGTGAGTTTGGCTACAAATTGTAGTTGACTGTGTGGGCCAGATCCTGGGCACTAGGTGATTGGTTGCTTGGAAAAGTGGAATGGATACTGAGGACCTGCTCTAAATGGGATACAGTGGACCCGTTTCACCTGGCTGGAGACAGTACTTTAGGACGGGACACACGACAATGCAGTTAGAAACAAACCGTTCCTTAGAGTTATATAGAATCTGTAATTACAGGCTTCACCATGTTTTCATTCCTTGGGTTTTAATTACAGATCATATAAAATGTCCTGAACATAACCAAGTAAGAGAATAAAAGGTCCTAAAACACAATGAGTACCTGTTGGATGACAGAGTACTCCTACAGCAAAACAGGAAGCTCGGGCATCACATCCTCACGTGCCAGTTGATACCCAGAAGATGTGAAGAGAGCTTGGAGGCTACTCCCCAAAGACATGGCAGCTCCCGCCCCAACCTGAATTTTAGGAAAGCTCAGGTCTTGCTGCATATCTGGAGTTGGCCCGCCTGGGACGTGGGTGTAGTGACTGGGCTAGGCACACAGGCTGCGGAGCAGGGAGGCTG